CTTAAAAAAGTGGGATCAAGATTCCACAAAAGGACAGATTCCCTAGAGAATAACTTCAGTAATATCCACATCATCGTGGATCCTCAGGAAGATTTAAATCTATTAAGTGCTTTTAAAAAAGAAAGGTAGGGCTAGAGAAATGGCTCAGCAGTTAAGAGCACTTGGTTGCTCCTGCAGAAGACCCAGGTTCAAATCCCAGCACCCACACGGTGGCTAACAACTGTCTGTAACTCTAGTTCCAGGGGATCCAACACCCTCTTCTGTCCTCCATGGGCACTGTATGACATGGGTGCACTTACATACATGCAGGAAATACACTCATACACACACACAAAAAAAAAGAAAAGTAATAAGATACAATGTGTTGTTCAACATTATTTTATTTGGTCTGTGTTTTAACATTAAATTAGGAACGTCTAAGTAAGTCATTGTTCTTGTAAATCCTCACTCAGCTACAAGAGTCAAAATTCAGTTTTTCCACCCTTATCTTTAGTCCTCGAAATATACAATGTCTCTGATTATTTCATTACCAGCCTTCACTACCTGGAAAATTTAGAACTGCTTCTGTGGTGTGGAGTCATTGCAATCTTTTATGTTACCTTGAAATTTTTAAGGATTGAAAAAACATACATTTATTTGTGTGTGCACACAGTGTGTATATGGAGGTCAGAAGACAATGTTTGGGAGCTGGTTCTCCTTCTACTGTGGGTCACAGCAAATGACCGCAGGTTGCTAGGCTTGGTGGTGTCATCTTTACCTGCTGAGTCATCTTGCTGGCCCCCTTCTGAAATTTTTAAAAGAGCATCTTTAGGGTTGGAATTGTGGTAGAGCATTTGTCAAGGATGCACAAAACTCTGGCTTCAATCCCCAGCATCACAAAGAGGAAAGTTAAAAAGGGCATCTTAAAAAAAAAATATTAGCTGGGCATGGTGGTGCACACCTTTAATCCCAGCACTCGGGAGGCAGAGGTAGGCGCATCTCTGTGAGTTTGAGGCCAGCCTGGTCTACATATAGTGAGTTCCAGGACAGCTGGGGCTACAGAGAGACCCTGTCTCAAAAAGACCAAAAAAAAAAAATTATTTTTATTTTATGCATATGGGCGTTTGCCTGCGTGTATGTGTATGTACCACCCCAGAATTGGATTTACAGATGGTTGTGAGCTGCCATGTGAATTCTGGGAACTAAACCCAGGTCCTCTGCAAGAGTAGCAAGTGCTCCTATACCCTGAGCCATCTCTCTAGCCCCCTACCCTGCCAAAGAGCATCTTCTACAACTGCAAAAATAGCATGAACTTTTAGGTCTTCCTTCAAATGATAAAATAAAATTCCTGGGCTAGAGAGGTGTCTCAGTGGGTAAGAGCCAATCCCTAACATCAACAGAAAAGTCAGGCGGGGCCGTGTGTATGTGTGTGATCCCAGCATTGTGGAAGGCAGAGGCAGGACCAGCAGGGCTTGCTGGTCACCAACACCAGGTTCAGTGAGACCCTACCTCAGGGGAATAAGGGAGAGAGTGATAGAGCAGAACACCTGATGACCAAAGGGCAGAGTATAAGCCATTAACACACAAAGAGCAATTGTGGGATGCAGTCATAGAGAAGGTAAGGCTAGAGTAGACCTGCCCCTAAGGGCAAGAAGGACCTAAACCAAAGAAGAAATCAAGAAGTGTATTACAATACACTGTTTATTCACAAATACATTTCCCAGTCAGGCTCTGTTCTAGGCCCTGGGAATAAGTAATGACTAAAGCAGAAACTCATTTGTATCCTGTGGGTTAAAGAGTACCCCATACCAAAGTCAAGATTTCTGTTTTATTTTTGGCAGTGCTGGGAACAGAATGACAGAACCCAGGGTTCTAGGATTGCTAGGTAAGTACTTTAAGCTGAGCTACAGCCTGGGAGCCAAGTTTTGAAGTAAGGAATGAGACAGACATGTTTTCCTATCATCACACTTGAATGCCTTACAAACAGAAGCTAAGGCAGTGGCTATCTTTAGTTACAACTTTGCAACTGTGAAAAATGTATAGATATGGCTGACATGAACAATTCAGTAATTGTTCATGTTTCACAGTAATTATAAATCTATTCAATTGCTTATAGAGTACGTTAAGGGGATATTACCCATATTTCTTGATACAAATAACATAAAAGATTTACATACATATGGTCAACAGTATTGGAATAGTGTGTTCATAATTCAAACACTTTGCATAAAAGAAAGCCTGATCTTTGTCAATACAGTTTCCTGTTTTGTGTATTCCTTCCCACCACTCTGTCCTTTACCTCCTTCATTTACCAATGAGTGTTCCTAATCTAAATTCTTAGAAGATGCCTGAACAGGCAAGTATGTGGTAGCAGGACAGTCACAAAGTATGAAAGCTTACATGTTTTTCTACTTAGGTCTTCCCATTGACAAAAGCGTTCCACTTTTCCCTCTCCCCAAAGGCAATGCCCACAGGTAAAGAAACCTTTGGTAAATACCAACTGGCAAAGCTTTTCCGACTCATTTCTTCCCAATGACGTATCATTAGAATGTTCTGACAGGTAAGCCCCGATGTCCTAATTTACCCACAATCGCCACCTTCCTCAGCCTAATCATTACTTCCAGCCACTTCTACTTTAAGATGCAAGACATTAGATTTCACCATCACCCTCATACATCAATGTCTTTAGAACTGCTATGCCTACATAAATAATAAATTGTATCTTTATGAACATTTTTTTAGTCTTATTAAGAAAGCCTTAATTTGGATCTCTGTGAGTTTGAGATTAGCCTGGTTTACATGGTGAGTTCCAGGCCAGCTAGGGATACAGGAAGACCCTGTCTCAAAAAGACAAAAAAAAAAAAAAAAAAAAAAAAAAAAAAAAAGCCTTAATTAAATGCAATTAGCAGTTAAATCCAGTCAAAACTTTTTTTAAAAAAATACTTTTTAAAATTTTGTTTTATGTGTACGAGTGTATTGCCTGCATGTATGTGGTACCCATGGCATGCAACGTCTGCAGGTGTCAGAAGAGGATCCCTTGAACTGGAGTTAAGGACAGTTGTTAGCCACCATATAGGTGCTGGGAACCGAATATGGGTCCTCTGCAAATAATAGCCTGTGCTCTTAACTGCTAAGCCATCTCTCCAGCCCCCAAATCTTAATTTCTTGATGCAAAAATACTGGAATATGTGTTTAAGATACTTAGAGGAAAACTGAAAAATTAGGCACATAAATATTTTACAGCTACCCACAATACAAAAAATCTAACATTCTTAACTGTCAAATGCTCAGTGAAACCCTAATACTCCAACAACATCAAACAGCCTGCTGTTTTATTTCCTTAGTTTGGTGTTGAAAAAAAATCTTATCACCTGTTTGCTCTTAATTAGGAATGGCACTATGAAATACAAAGAAGAACCCCTTTATGCAGGGGCCACCCAGACTTTCTCATTACCTTTTCCAGACTGTCCAGCCTAGCTGGCTCACTGAGTGACTCTGTTATGTAATGGGCACTCAGACAAACAAGAGGTACCAGGCTTTGTAAACTACTTATTACCCAAAGGGATTAACTGCAGTTCTATGAACTTTTAAAGCCATTTTTGAACTTGAAAACAACACTATTATTTACTGAGCTGCTTTAAATCACCAACACCCTTATTTTCACAAAAGGAGAAACAACTATTTAACGGACACATTCCGCATATCGATGTATTCAAACCAAGTTTATGCACTGAAAAACTTGAACAATCTATGCTTATGCTAAAAGTTATTCTTGAAAGTTAAATGAGATAAAACTTCTAAGACCACTTAGATGCCACTGTCCTGGCAAACAAGCAGCAGTTATTATTGCTCCTAATTTTCTAACTTTACACTTAAACTCAAGTTTAAAATTATATACATGATTGTATGCGTGCATGTAACAGTAGGTTAAGGAACATATGGTGATCCTATAAAGAATGTTGTACCAAGTACTCTTATGTAGTCTAAAGTTAACAGATGATCGACAAAGGCAAGACACCTTGCTAAAAGGTACAATAATTAACAGCTCTTATCTCAGTTTACCAATATGCAGAACCACTACACTGCCAGCTTGAATTCTAATTAGCAGCAGGCAGATCCTGGAGAGCTTGCTCAACAGGAATAGTTGAGCCCTCAAGCACGTGGACAATGGACCCCTTTATTTGCACGGTTGCAACAACATGGGAAACTCAAGTTCGAGTGAATCTGAAATCCTAGATAAACTCATCACCTGCCTCGCAATTTATTTTTTTAATACCCCAGTCATTCAAACTAATGCGTCTGCACTCTGGCCACATTCAGTTTAAAAAACAATTCAATGGCCTCGGCCTCGCAGCTTTCACTGCGACCGGGAAGATGCGAAGACCGAGAACCAGCAAAAGGGTTCTCTCAAGAGAACGCGCAAATACCCCAGAGACCGCGGTCCCCACAGCGGAAGAGCCTTCGCGCCCGTGCCCCGCGGCCAGGCCGCGCTTCCCGCCCGTGCCGCCGCCCCGACGCCGGGCCCTGTATCCGGGCCACCGGGCGGAGGGAAGGCGCTCACGCCGGGGGCGCCACCCAGGCCACCACGGCGTAGCACTCAAATTCCGAAAGAGGGAAAGAAAAAAAAACCAACAAAACCTGGCTTCTCGTCCCATCCGGAAACCGCGGGCCGGCAGGAAGTGACGAAGTAGATAAAGGTCGCCAGGTCGCCGGCTGTGGGAAGGCTCTCCCGCCCGACTTCGGGAACTGGCGGAGCCGAGGTGCGGCCTCCACCTCCGGACGGACGCCCGGCTAGCCTCCCGGCGGTGTCAAGGCCCCGCCCAGCCTCACCGCGACCGCAGGCCGCTGTCGGGACCGGAAGGCCAGGTGGACCCCGACCCGGTCGGACCGAGGCGAGCAGGTTGCACTGGAGGCCCAGTCGAACCGAGGCTCTGTAGCCGCCGCCTTCCCCGCCCTCCTGAAGAAGGCTGCAGCCTCCGCACTCTCGGACGGAGACAATGCGACCGGCTACAGCCTGCGGAGGGTAGGAGGCGCAGTCACCGGCTGGACCGCGGACGCACCCTGGCCACATGCGGGCGGAAGACTTTTAAACCGGCTGAACTGAGTTTTCTTCCGCAAGGAACAGCGCACAGGATCGGGGGCGCGGCTGGAGGAGGCCAGGTTTGGGCGTCAGACGTGTGCGACGACTCTGCCCCCAGGCTCACAGAACCACCTCTGTCACCTGTTTTGTTCTCCTTTCCCCCTTCCCTCTTCTGTAAAGTGGAACTGCAGTGCTTTCCCAGCAGGATGGTTACGAAAATCATTCGAATGTGGGCTGCCGAGCCCACAGGCCTCAGAGCATGCTCCCTTTCCTTCTGTTGGTGAAGGCCCGTGAGCTTGTTCCCTTCTGCATCCACACCCCACCCTCTCATCTCTCCCCCAGGAATCCCCTCCCCACGGTGCAGTGGGTTTGGATATTACATCGTCTGAGTGATTCTAAGCTTCTGTGAGAAAGGAACAGGGTTCCAAGTGATAGACCAGAATAACATTTGAGTCATGATAAATGATGCTCAATTTTAGAAACCCGCAGATATGGTAGCAGGAACTCAGTCAGGACTCTTGAATTTTAAAACTTAAAGTATTGCTATGTGATGGCTAGAAAAGGTCTTATTTTTCCGCCTAAAAGTTTTCACCCATAAAATCCTAGTTGAGGTATTTTTTTCAGCTTAATCTCTGGATACCCTTGTATACTTGGAACTTAAGTAAGAGCACTACAGGACAACTGAAGGAAAGGGTCTGTTTTCTCAGAGCCCTGAATGTCATTCCCAGCATGTGACTACTGGTCCTCTTGCTGGAGCACTAACTTGCCAGAAATGAACTACTGGACATTTTACTTTAGACTGAAGAGAAAGGGTATGGTAGCATGTGTAGACCTGTTGGCAGGTGTGTGCACACACACTTGGTTAGACTGCAGCACGCTGAGAGGGATGGTCAACGTTCAGGCCACACATGTGGGTCTGTCTTAACAAAGCATGCTGTTGGTCATGTCAGGATAGGTAGGAAAGTCCTAGCCTCGATGCAAATATTTCACAACTGTGGGCCAAAGAGAACTCATGCGTATCCCAGGAACTATGGAATAGTAGTGCCATTGCATAGCACTGATGTTGTATAATATGTGTTGTATAACCCAGGTTAACATTTTGCCTTCCGGGTCAGCAGTAATTAAAAATCTTTTCTAAATATGATTAAAGAGTGACATACTAGGAAGAAATCAAAGTAGGAATATCTGGCTCTTCCTGAGTAGGAGTACATCACTTACTAAGTGACACATGGACAGAGTTTGTCAAAAGTTGAAGGAAGAAATTAACCTGGCTCAGATCCACTTGGGCATATTAGGAAACACTGGTAATTTGTCAGATAAATAAATGGTACTCCCTCTATATCCTAGTGGCTATTGCCTATTGTTCCTGAGGGCTACTGCTATTGCTACATTATTATTATCTAGGCCCTTCTGTAGCAACTCAAATCGGACACTGAAACTTTTTCCCCCCAAAATATGATCATGGTTATTGTTATTTTAGCATTTTGGCATCTATATTGGTTAAAATTTCATAAATCATAGGCAGTTTTAGTGTTTGGTTTTCCAGAAGTCTCTATGTCTGAAATAGGCTGGTTACTTACTATAAATCATAATTAAATTCAGAGAACCTTTGGCATTGAGTTTTAAAGAATAAAAATTGAACAGTGACTATGCCACCCATCCTTGTCCCTCCCACTCAATCAAAAGCTAATCATAGATATCTAAGATTTAGGTCTGCTCTAATATTTGAATCTTAAACCTGTAAATCTTTATAGTTTAAGTTCTGTGTATATTGTTCCTTGGCCAAAGCATTTTTTACAAGACTACTGTTTCTGTCCATCAGACACCATTAATGTCAGGAGTTTAAATGGCTTTTCATAACATCCACCTTACTCTAAATGAGCACAGTAGGTCTCCAAACTTCTGGCAAAGACAGCAGATTTGAGAAAGAGAAAGTGTATCACCTGGCTTAGAGCAAACCTTTCCTGAAATTTCATTCTTTCTGTGTTTTATACAGAGTCAAGTGAGGAAAGAAAGAAAAAAAAAAAGGCTTGTTAACTTAGTGAGGCAAACCACATTAATGAATATTTGCATGGCTTATACAAAAGACTAATATTTTTGTAGAAGAATTTCTACAGTGCCTTCGTTGTTGTAGGCAGCAAAACAACAACAAACCCTTGCAAGCAGTTTCTTGACGTTTCAGATGTATCTTCACTTGGTTTTAAAACATGGCTGCCTTATTAGAAACTACAGTACACTTACCACTGATCATTTGCCCTTTCTCCTTTTTGTAGAGTATCTGAAACTTCTGAATTACTTTCACATATTATGCCATTTTACTTACTTTTTTGTTCAACACAAGAGAGGAACTTTATCCCCAAGGGAAAATTCTCAAACACAAATAAGAAATTTTTATTTTTACCAGGCATGGTGGCACAGGCCTTTAGTCCCAACACTCGGTAGGCAGAGGCAGAGTCAGGCAGATCTTTGTGAGTTCAAGTCCAGCCTGATCTACATAGTGAGTTCTAGGCCAGCAGCCAGCAGGGGCTACAGAGAGACCCTGTCTTAAAAAGACCAAAAAAAACCTTTGTTCTTGTGATGAGCATTCTTGCTTTCTGTGGAAATCAAAGAATGCGTTTTCATGAGTAAGTACCAAGAAGTAAGGTTTTTGTTTTTTGAGGCAGTGTCTACCTGTAACCCCACCTGGCCTGGAACTTGCTATGTAGACCAAACTAGACTTGATCTCACAGAGATCCACCTGCCTCTGCCTCCTGAGTGTTGGGATCAAAGGGGTATGCCACCACACCCAGCCAAAAGTAACCTTTTAGCTCACAGATTCTTTTAGCCAAAATTGATCAATAGGCCAAACCTTGATCCAACTCCAAATGTGTGGGCATGTTGGGAGGCATGTGAAGAGCAGTTCGTGTTGTGTCTGTGTCTTTTTTCTAGGCTGCTGTCGTGAGGGAAACCCATCTTCTCAGTATCACAGACGTTTGGGTGTGTGTTTTGATTCTGATTTCAACTTCAATCCTTTTAGCAACATTTTTTATCCTACATTTTAACGTTTATATAAGAGCTATGATATTTCAATGTAAAAAATGGGGAAAAAGTATGTCACGTACCTTTATGACCTAAATCCAAGGTCAATAAACCTTTTCTTTCCTTTTTTTTTTATTTTATCTACGTGTGTGTATTACCT